GGGCGGATGCAGCATTCTTTTGGTCTTTAGAATGACTTTAACACCTTAAAACATTAAGATAACCTAACTTCGAGACATGGAGCAAATCCCAAACATTTCCATGTTAATACTTATTTCAAATAAAATATTTTTTTTAATATTTCATAACTAAATTTATATTTATAAACCGACGGTACGGATTTTGAAGTGGGGTGGCACAATCATTAATTTCTAGAAAAAGTCCACTATATCTAGGGTTGCCAGACGTCCGGCTTTTACGGAGGAGAATACAGCGCCAAACTTGTAAAAGTAACTTTTTTTTACTGTGCTTTTTTTTGTAAAAGCTGGACGTCTGGCAACCCTAACTATATCTAATTAATTTCTTAAAAAAAATAAAAAATAGGCTTTTTAGAAAAAAAGTGGGGTAGGAGGGGAAGTGCCCCTGGCCCTCCCTTCCCCGGTGTCGTCGGCTATGTCATATAAGACCTAAATCCTCTCAATTTGAGGGAACTACGCTTTTTTTTTAATTTTGCACTTGCTGAATATTATCTGAAGCTTTACTAAGTTCTATCTTGCGTTTTTTTATTATTTTGACTTTTTAGAATCATCATTTTGATTTAGTTTTCATTCAATTCAGTGTCAAAGTACATTCAGATGTACTTTGACATTGTCTTTTAACTTTCAAATGTTTACTTTTTTTGTGTGTGTGTGTGTGTGTGTGTGTGTGTGTGTATGTGTATATTTTAAGATCGTTGTAAAACAATTTTCTGATTGCTTTTGAGTTGATTTGTAAAGTATAGTACCATTTCATATGTTTGAGCAAAGTCGCTTTAATTTTAATTAATTAGTTTTGCAAATATATTTACAAAACTAATTAATTAAAATAACAAACACTGGTTCGTTTCCATTTGATATATCAAATGGAAACAAACCAATGTTTAGAAATCGAGTGATTATTTGTATTTATGTACCGAAAATGCGTTACCAAAACAAAAATGTTTTGCTTATGGTTTAATAAAACTTTCTTTTGTTCTTGATTATGAAGCTGCATAAAACTCTTTTATTTCTACCTAACTTGTTTGAAGTGAAAATACACACCTACGTCCAACGATTGAATTATGTAAGTATGTGAGACAGATAAGCCGGTAAACACATTAGCCTGATGTTATTGTCAAAGAAAATACGTGTAACATTTGAACAAGTGTAATGTGTCCAGGGCCGGCGCGAGTAGGTGTCACGTGGGGGGTGCCATAACAACTTTTGTCGACTAAAAAAAAAAAAAAAAGGTCCTCGTTTTCCGAAATTTGCCGACTGTCATGACGACATTTGCCGACTGTCTAACCTATATCAAAAGGATCGACATTTGCCGACTAACTAGTCTAAAAGATTCCAATTTGCCGACTAAGGGTCCAGTTTGCCGACTAAAAATCATTGATGGGGGGGGATGTCACACCCCTATCGCGCCGGCCTTGAATGTGTCCTATCAAATTAAAATTTGAAGCTAATTTAACTTCTAGTATTATTATTTTACTGATTTATTTAATAATCCCCACGGTCGTTTAGATGTGGAAAGCTTTTATACACAATAGGGTGTCCCAAAAACACACTTTTTTAAAATTCTAATGTGCTCTTAACTGATCCCCATTCTTTTGGTCTTAAATAGCAACCAAAATCTTTTTTTTAATATTTTAATGACTAGAAGTGATAGATGTAAATTCTGAGTTTTACGGTTTTGTACACATGTGTATTGTTAGCGATTGATATAATTCCCTCTGGACAATATTATTAGTTGGTATAAATACCCATGGATTGGTTCACAAACAACTCTATTTAGAAATTTTTTTTTAAGGAAAAAATTTCTAAATAGAATTATTTGTGCATGAAGGAATTCTAATTTGTGCACAAAAAAATTCTTGCCTTGATAAGCAATCAAAGTTAGAGAAAGATTTTCTCACAGATACTAAAACTAGTTAAAAATAAATAGTTTTCCTAAAGATTAGCAATCTTAATCAAATAAACAAACCGGCGCCGGTTAGTTTGCCGGGCAATTGGTAAAATGTTATAGAAACCGTTTTTTTTTTTAAAGAAACCAGGTCAAAATGCTTGAGCAGGGTCTAAATCTTATTGAATTATAATGAGATTAAGCTTAAAATGATCATAAAGATCTACAAAATTAAATAAAAAATAGTGCCTTTTAATTTTAATTTTTTAAGGGTGTTTAAACTGTCATAATATGAATTTTTGTAGTGAAAATTTGATCTTTGAACCCGTTGAGCGGGGTCGAAAATTTGTGCAAATTAGTTTAACTTTCGTTTTTATTGATCATAAAGTACACCCACAGCATATGGAAAACAGTGCCTTTTAATTTTCAAAAATGAGGGGCGTTTAGCCTACCTACCCTAATATATATATATATATATATATATATATATATATATATATATATATATATATATATATATATATATATATATATATATATATATATATATATATATATATATATATATATATATATATATATATATATATATATATATATTTCTGAGTCTTTATCTTTCTTATGAGTCTTTATTGATGAAACACAGTGTAAAATGAAAAAAAAAATTTTGTTGAGTGATTTTCTACTAATTTATTATTGCTCTGTTCTTTTAAGAACATTGAGCACTCTATTTTGTAGAATACACTTTAAAACTGTTTAAATATATATATATATATATATATATATATATATATATATATATATATATATATATATATATATATATATATATATATATATATATCTTTAAAAAAAGATTGAATTTAAAGCTAAACTGTTTTACTTTACTCTCTGATTACTTTTTATAAAAAACGTTTTATCCCAAAAAGTTACAGTATTTCCAATAAAATTCTAAAAACTAGGAGACTGTTTACTCATTTTTTACAATAAAGGTTCTTAATCTTTAAAGTCTTGTTAAACTTAACAAGACTACACACTGAAAACTGTGTTAAATTAAGTTTGTTGCATTTTAAAAAAAAAACTTAGATATGGTGCCAGCTATAAGAGATTTCATATTTGGAAAAATTAAAAAAAATATCTCATCGAGAACTACATAATGTAACAAAGTTCTTATCCGCTTCGACGTTTTGACGTAACATTGATAGGTTTTTTTTGTTTATACTTACTTTCATATTTTTTTGATGTAAGCTTATTTTGATATAAGCTTTTCCCTGAGTCAATATGTTGTATCAATCTACTCTAATATTGTAAGGATAAGTACATATACCTCTTTTTTATATATTGAAAAGATATTTAGGAAGTACGATAATACTAAAACAATACAACTCTTTACTAAAAATGTTTTTAAACTTACAACTACAATGCAATTCTTTATTATAAATTCTTTCCTCAAGATTAAAAGTGCTTTGATAATTGTAATTTCTTTGAATGCCTAATTTCATCTTTTCTGACTAAAGACCATACAATCTCCCATCATTGCAGTACCCTTTATCCTCAATATCTATTTTCCATTTTTGAAGTGCCCTAATAAAATATCTAACCATACTCCTCACTGATATTACCCATATTTTTGGGGAAGAAATTTACGACACAAATATAAGTGTGTAAGCAACTTATGAATCATTATGGATACACGACAACCCAATATTTTGAATTTTTTATTAAATTTTGCAACTAGTTATTTTATTTCTTAGGAAAAAATCTAAACATAGTATAAGTATAAATTTTAATTTATCCAAAGCAAAACTACGCATGCTCACGTGGATATTTTTCCCTACTCTTATCTGATCCTATAAAAAAACGGATAAGTGGAAACTAACCTTAAAACGTTTCTATTAATTGATATGATCCAAAGTTATAATAGTGATTATTTACTACTACACCTTTTCAAGATGTAACAGAGAACTTGAAAGTTTTAAATAAGAAAAATGTAAGATGTAATTTAGAACATGAAAGATGTAATAAAGAAACATAAGATTTAATTTAGAAGACGAAAGTTGTAAATAAGAAATCGTGAGATGTAATTGAGAAAAGGTTACAATATTGATTATCAGAAAGAAGTTCTTTGTATTTTTAATTTTGTTGCCTTAGTTTACCTATTAATTTTAGGTTGGATCCTAATTTGGCCAAGGTGACCATATGGGTTGGTTTTCAATAAATAACAATATATTATCAATAAAATAAAAAAGTAATGAAAAAAGGCATTTGCAGTTTTGGCGGTAACTACACCTCTATCAATGAAATTGAAATTTCTGCTGCAGACCCAATTGTGTGTTGTCTTAGATTTGACACCTAAAGTTTGCACCTGAGTTACCCAATCGTCATAACGCTCAGCACATTCAATAACTCTTCTTCTATCATTCGATGAAGATAAAATATAATGCTTTCTTTCAATTTGTTCACTTGTATGTATTTCATCTCTACAAATTGAACAAGGTGGTTCTGGTTATTACAGAAATGGATGTAAACAAATTTGGTGAAATAAATGCTCGCTCGGATTAAATTTAATAACAGACTTTCTGTTCAGAGTGTATTGACAAATAATACAACCATCTTTAAATTCCATTACTGTATTACTGTATTGCTGGTGCAAACAAATGCTAAACTTGATATTATTAACTTATTAAAATGCATGTCCAAGAAGATTTTTATTATGACCTTTAAGCTTACATTGTGAATTCACAATTACAAATAATGTATTTTTATTTACATATTACGATTTCCAATTTACAAATTTTGTTTTTCTAATTACATAGTGCGATTTCTTATTTATATTTTGGGTTTCACAATTACATATTAAAATTTCCTAATTACATGTTGTGTTTTTTAATTACATTTTGCGACTTCTATATTACATGTTTTATTTCTCAATTACATCTTACTTTTCGTAATTGCAACTTTCAAGTTCTCAATTACATCTTGAAAAGGTATAGACGTACAACGAATATAAACACGGTACAAAAATTTTAAACACGGTAAGGTAATAATAAAAAAGGTACGGGATAAATGCAAACCTAAGTTTTGAGGTAACTCTTTATTCCCAAAAGAAATTTAAAATTGCTAAAATACAAAATGTAAAAAACGAAATTAAATAAAATACTTTTTATAAACGTCAAAAAATGATTTCTCTAAAAAACTCTAAACAAACGGTTTCATAGCAACAAATACAACACCTTCAGAAGTGTGTTTAACAGATCCGCTTTTATATACTTCAAACTTCACTTTTGTACATGATTCGCGATAGATAGTTTCGAAATCATATTTTCCACCATAAAGTGCAGTGACCCAACGAAGAAAGTTGTTCACCGATCCCATATCAACTTCTTTATAGCGTTTATCGTACTTTAGAAGGAGAAATCCTGCCTCTATCAACATTGCATGCAACTTAAAAGGATCTTCTCGATAGTAACTGTCTAATACCTTTTCTTGGTTTTCTTTTGTTAAAAGCGATATAGCTAAATCAAGATTTTTTGATGTCTTAAATGATATGTTCCCTATAAATAACCCACCCGGCTTTAAAGAACTGTAAATTCGTTTAAAAGTAGCTACTTTTTCGTTTGTGGGAATCCAGTGCAAGACAGCATTGGATAATGCATAATCAAATAAGTTGTTTTCATCGATAGGAAAATTAATACTTTTTGCAGAAATAAACTTTAAATTATCATAGTTTATGAATTCTTTTTTGGCCACTTTAATTCTGTCTATATCAGGGTCTACTCCAACAACTTTACCAGTCGAACCAACCTAAATTAAAAATTATAAAATAGCTTTAAAAATAAAAGGAAAAAAAAATTATTAGAAAATAATAGAGGCAGCTAACTATATCGGCAATTATTGCAGTCAAATTTCCACAACCGCATCCAATGTCTAAAACATGATCACCGTATTTAATATCGACTAATTTTAAAAGATCTTCGCCATACGATTGCTGCACGTGTAAAGACTTTTGTAAGTAAAGTTTTGCAGATGTTCCTCCGTCCATCCTACAATTCATAAATAAGAAAAATTCTTGATCATTAATTTCATTATATTTAAATAATTAAATTAAATTAAATATTGAATTATTTATAAGAATAATTTAAAAACCAACAATCAATATTTACGAAATAATTCTCTTGTAACAATCTTCATTCTTATAATGTATGTATTTATTTGTAACCATCGTAACAATCAAGTTTTCTTGCGCAATATCTAATTTCCAAATTGCAATTTTGTTTAAATGAATGCTAGAAATACATTTGCGGAAAGATAAAAGACGACTATGTAAAATACTTTTTAATTGTTAATGATATATAAAACGTTTGCATGGTGCCATCGTGAATTGTACATCACCAATTACCGTTTATGACAAGATGCAAAATTATGCAATATGAGTCATGTTTTTATGATTAATCTAATTAATCAATCAAAAAAAATTCTATAAACTATATTATATAGACAATAAACTAAATAATTATTTATATTTAAGTAAGTTAAATTAAACAAAAGGTAATGAGAACTTTCTCTATTTTCTTTATATATATTTTTTTTATTAATAAGTTTAAAAATAAGTTACAAATTTTAAACTGAATTTTAACTGGATTAAGACAACTTATTTTAACTATAAGATAAAAAAAAAGCAACTAAAAAAAATATTTTAGAAAGTAGGGTAGAGCGGGGCATAAAGGGACGCTTAAGAAACAAATGCTAGTTTAGGATAAACTAATCGTTGTTAAAACTGTTTTTTATAAATTTACTAAAATTCATCGATATAAGAGAATGAAAAAAAAAAAGAAAAAAAAAATTCTAAAAATAAGTTAGACAACCAAAGTAACGAAACTCTAGACTAGAAAAACTTTTACATTTTGCAAGTGGGTGGGGCAAATCGGGACAGATAAAAAACAACAGTTATTTGTCAATTGTACAGCTCAAAAAATGATGAAAAATGAAGGTTATTTATCGTCTAAATATGTTCAGACATTAAATTCTTAAAAAAGTAACATACCTATAAAAACTACCTGCCCTAACACCCATACACCCATACATTATTTCAATTAAACCAAGAAAAAAAATGCGATTCCGAAAGTTAAAATCAACAAAAAGCAGTTGCTGAAACTAAGTGGAGTCGATTGTGTTAGAAATTCAAAAATCGTAAACCAATTATTGACGATTAGTCTTATATATAGAGTTGATATTGAGCTTATACAGAATTTAACACAGTCTATACCAGGCTTAGTTAATAAAGTCAGTAGATTGAATTGAAAATAACAGTATATATATATATATATATATATATATATATATATATATATATATATATATATATATATATATATATATATATATATATATATATATATATATATATATATATATATATATATATATATATATATATACAAATGTTCAATATTTTCTAGATACTCTTATAGAATATAACCTAATACCAACAATAAACAAGTCAACGAGAATAACTAAGACCTCATCGTCACTACTTGATAATATAATTACTAACAATTTTCAAAACTGCCGTTTAGGAACAGGCATAATTAAAACTGATTTAACTGATCACTTTCCAATATTCTTAATTACTGATAACATAACCCTAAATAATGTCCCTTCAAACACTACAATCTTAACACGACAGATCAATGAAAACTCCTTATTGTATTTTCGAACTCTTTTAACAAAAATATCAATTTAAATGTTATTTTACAATCCCATGAAGTCAATACTGCATATGAGCTATTTTTAGCGCAATACTGCATATGAGTTATATTTAGCGCAGTTCTGTAAACAGTATGATATAGCATTTCCTGTTAAAAAAATTGTTATAAAATCCAAGTCTCTTTTAAACCCCTGGATGAACAAGGAATTAATAAAATCATCAAAAAAAAAAACTTTATGATAAATATTTAAGACATAAAAAATATAAAAATGAAGTAAACTACAAAAACTATAAAAGCTTATTTGAAAAAAACAAAAAACACTCAAAAAAAATTTATTATACAAAGTTGTTGGAAAAAACAAACGGCGACACTAAAAAACATGGAATATAATTGATAAAAAAATAATTGGTAAAAATAAATGTGAAAAAAATAATCTCCCACAAAAGCTTTTAATTGATAAGGAAATGATTTACGATATAAAAAAAATAGCTAACGAACTCAACTCATTTTTTCTCGAAGTAGCGCCGAACTTGGCGAGTAAAATTCCGTCAAGTACCACAAATTTTGAATCTTACATTAAATCATGTAATTCTATTATGGAAGAATCTAATTTAAATCTAAGCGAAATAAGGAATGATTTTAACAGTCTTAAAAGTAATAAAAGTGCGGGTATTGACAAAATTAGTGTGAATGTTGTTAAGTCAGTCTTTGATATCATTGAACCGTCATTATTTCATATTTTTGATCTTTCAATAAAGCTTGGTATTGTGCTGAAAAAACTTAAAATTGCCATAATCACTCCCATTTTTAAATTTGGTGACGAAACTAATATTAACAACTACAGACCTATTTCCGTTTTACCCTGCTTCTTAAAATTATTGGAACGAGTTATGTACAACAGACTTTACAACTATTTGATGTTAAACAGTTTGCTGTACAGTAAACAATTTGGATTTTAAAAAGATAATTTAACAAACCATGCTATAATCGAACTAGTTAATCATGTATCGGATGCATTCAATAATGACTGTTTTACTCTTGGAGTTTTTATTGATCTATCGAAAGCCTTTGACACTGTTAACCATAAGATACTTATAAAAAAACTAGAACTATATGGAATAAAGGATAAAAATTTACATTGGTTTGAAGACTACCTAGCGAACAGGTCACAATGTATTATTTATAATAAAAAAGAAAAAGAAAAACATATTACATGTGATGTGCCCCAAGGGCCATTATTATTTTTATTGCATATAAATGATTTATACTTAGCATCAAATATTTTAAATGTTATATTCTTTGCAGATGACTCCAACCTTTTTTATTCCAACAAAGATATAAAAGCTCTCTTTAATATATTTAATGAAGAACTATTAAAAATAAACGATTGGTTTACAAGCAATAGGCTTTCGTTAAATGTAGAAAAAACTAAATTTATTTTATTTTCCAAACCTAGTAAAGGTGATGATGTTCCTCTAAAATTACCCAATCTCCTAATCAATAAAACATTTATTAAAAGGGAACCAATCGTTAATTTTCTAGGAGTAATAATAGATGAAAATTTGTCATGGAAACCACATATAAAATATATAGAAAATAAAATACCAAGAAATATTTATATATTATATAAAACTAAATCATATTTTAACACCTCTTCTCTAAAAAAATATACTTTTCATTTATTCATAGTTTTATCTCTTACTGCAATATTGTATGGGGTAGTACTAACTATGGTAAGTTGAAAAAACTTCATAGTAAGCAAAAACATGCATGCAGGATTGTATTTGGTGCCCACAGAACTTTTCAATATGAACCTCTTTTAAGGATGGTCGGTGCCCTAAGTGTTTATAAACTTAATATACACCAAGTTTTACAATTCATGTTTAAAACTAAAAATGAACTCTCTCCTATTGTAATTCAGTCTTACTTTAGTGAAATCTCGCACAAGTATCCTACTAAATTTTCAATTAATAACTTTATTGTTCCAAAAACTAATTCAAAACTAATCTTACAAAATCCAATACCGCGGACCGTTTCTATGGAAACATTTTTCAAAGTTTAATGTTCATTACATCTCTTTGGAAAAACTTAGAAAATAATCTAAGAATCTCTTATTACAATAAGACTTTGATTTAAAATATCTCTTTTAAAAATAATACACAAATAATATAAATTATCCAAAAAAATAGTTATTGAGACTACTTCTCTTTTGTTGCAATTTTAATCTAATTTAATTTTTTGTTGAAAAATTTTAATACTTTTAAATTATTATTAATCTTTGATATAATGCGTTATATTTCAACACTTATATTTATATTATGTTATTAGTTATATTGTAACTAATTATGTACTAGTTATGTACTTAGCTACTCTTCATTTTTTATATTAACTGACGATTTTTTAGTGTAAATTTTATGATGGGGCTTGATGATAAGACAATTTATGTCTTCTGCTTGCTCCAGTTCTCTTATTAACACGATTTATTTTATTGTAAATTTTAATATATGACAAAACTCTTTGCTTAAATATATATATATATATATATATATATATATATATATATATATATATATATATATATATATATATATATATATATATATATATATATATATATATATATATATGGAATAGCGGACTTACCAGTACCCGTATTCTGGTCATTCTAAGTCTATTCCACTTCAACCATTTTAATAATTTCGCTTTATTTCAATAGTTTTTAAAAAAGACTAAAATATTAAAAACTTTGTTTTGAGTTAACGATTTATGTTTAATACTTTATACAAAACTTCTACAAAAAACAAAGAACACAAAAAAAAGCGGGAAGGGGCTTGATTATTATTTTCTTTATTAAGTTTCTATTAATCTTTTTCAGACCATCTGCAGCTTATTAGGTCTCTTGCTCCGTTAACTTTGAAGAAAGTTAAAGTTGGCATATAAAATATGCCAACTTTAATGTCATATTTTATATGCCATTTTTAATGGCAAATAAACGCGCAAGCTAATTACTTAAGCACATTAACAACATAACTTATTTATCATGAACAATACTTACTTAATTATAAACACATAAACTTTATATGCTTATAATTATCTCTATCATGACATATGTGCGAAAATTTTCCAATGGTGTTTTCATGTTTTTAGAAATTTTAAAAAGCTTTTTAAAAAACTCTCTCCCTTTCGTTTATTACAGTATGTAATGTTTTTATTTATGTTATGCATATAATACCCATAGTATTTTTTTAATGTTTTTTTTTTTATTCTAAAAAATTAGAAAGAAATTAAAAAAATATATTTTTAGCAAAAGGATTTTAAGCCACACGAAACACTTCAACCACTTTAGCATGCTTTATCATCTTTTAAAACTGTTTATAAACCAAAGACTTATTAAACCTTATAAAAGATTTATAGCATTTAAATGGTATAAATCAAAATTAAAAAGATATATATATATATAGAAATGAAATTTTCAAGTAAAAATAAATCTGTAAAATTTGATATAATTTAAATAACTTGAAGTTAACAGGTTATTTGCATAGGCTTTCGTTCACATAGATAAAATACAAAAGATAAAATACAAATCATTTCGGATAGTGGTTTTAAAAAAATGCCTAATAGTATTGTAAAAAAAAAAAAGATATTTTTATTAACATATTTATTAACAATTGAGCAAAACATAAAAATTTTCAATAGTTTTCAATTGTATGACTATATTGAACAAACACGTCATCTAATTAATCTAAAAAAACTAATCGAATTAATCACATTTATAAACTGCAAATCAATTTATTTATGCATAATAAGTTATTATTATGCATTTTTTTCAAATATTTTGTTATGTATATAATAATAATAATAATAATAATAATAATAATAATAATAATATATAAATAACATAACATATATAATATATACATATATAACATAACATATATAATAAATAAAATAATATAAATAACATAACAAAATATTTGAAAAAAAGTTTTATTTACAAAACTTTAAATTTTCTTATTGCCTTTAATTATGTATTTTAACTAATTAATTTATTTAATTAAAAATTATAATGTTAATAAAATGGTTTATTTTATATATGAAGTTGAAATTTTTAATTATGTTATTAATAAAAACATACTTTTCAAACCCCCTAATTGGTTATGATTGCCGCGTGGCAAGTTTAAATCATAGGCTTGCCTTTTTTTTGTTTAATATTTGTAATTTAAAATGCAAAACAAATTCTTTCAAACCAAACTTATTTCTTCAAAATGTTTTACAAACTATTTTAGAAAAAAAATTTGATTGATAATTTTAAAAAGTTGATTGATAATATTTTCACAACAGATATTTATAATAAAAAATTGCAAAAAGGAATTATAAAAACCGACATATCCGATCGTTTCCCCATTTTTCTAACAATCCATACTGTATCCTCTAATAACCCCAAAAGTCAAAATATCATAAAAAATATAATATGTGTTTGAAAAAATTTGTAAAAAACTAAAAAA